GTTCTAGGTTTCTTTCTGGGGGTTTCCCGATTTACAAGAATTTTCAGCGTTGGTTTCATGCCAATAGGAGTTGCAGGGCCCACGAGCTCACACGACACTCCTACCCCCCAGGGCACACGGGGTGAGCTCATGATTCCCTTGTGGGTCTTCTGGTCCTTCCTAGAAGCTTCGGGGGTCCCTTATGTTTCAAAAAGAATCATCATAAACATTTCGTGGCATTTGGACTTCGTTTGGTAGGGATTTTCTGGAAAACCAAAAACATCGAGAAAACAGCAATTTACACTGGGCATCAGGTTAATAGGTTAGTTCATGAAAATCATATAAAAGTACATAAAAACCAAATAAAATTGTTGTAAACATGGCATGAATACTTCATAAATTATAGATATGTTGAAGACGTATCATCGTGCCTCTCGGAAAGGGGAAAAAACCATGTTTTCTTTTTTTCCTCCCGCGAGAGGCGCAAATTTACTTCTCGTGGACACATGGATTGCTTCCTCTAGAGGTCGTGCCTCTCGGAAACGAAAAAACGTGTTTTTTTCTTCCATGAGAGGCACAGATCTACTTCTCATGGAGCCACGGAATTGCTTACGCGAGAGGCATGGTGGTGCCTCTCGGAAAGAAAGAAAATATATTTCCTTTTTTTTCTTCCGCGAGAGACACATATTTACTTCTCGTGGAGGCACGGATTTAGTGGTGCCTCTTGGAAAGGAAAAACATGTTTTTTTTCTTTCGCGAGAGGCACGGATTTACTTCTCGTGAAGGCACGGATTTGCTTTCGCAGAAAGGGGAAAATGTGTTTTCTCTTTTTATTCCGCCAGAGGTGCATATTTACTTCTCGTGGAGTGGAGGTGCATATTTGCTTCTGCGTGAGGCACAGTCGTGCCTCTCGGAAAAGGAAAAAATTGTGCTCCCAGTTTGAGGTTTTTCGTCCGCGTACTTTCGTGAAATAAAAGTTCGTCAAAACCTATTAACATGGGATCTAGTTTTGAACATCTCGACACAAGGAGTTCAACGGTGAAAACGGTTTGAGATTTGGACGCACGATTTAAGAGAACATTTTAAATAAATGAATCTAAAATAAAGGAATACTCCCAGGTTGCGAGAAGTTGCGCACATGCAATGTGTCACTTGTGGCAACCTGACAAGGTAGGAGTCATCTTTGTAAGGAGTACTCCTTATTAGTGATTTCGCCAAGTCGGGAGCTCCTAAGTGGCGCCATTAGTGCCACTTGGAGAACGGGCGCACATTGTGCCTCCATGATGGGCCGACCCATGTAAGGTGAGCCCTCGATCCCCGCCGGGAAAATATCTGGGGCACCAGAGCTTGTGGTGCTGCCTGTGCACCAAACTCACGTTGCGCATTTAAAATGTTCAAAAAAATTATGGAAAAAAGTTAGCACATTCATACAACATTAATGTAGGTTGTACCAAAATTTCAAGTCAAAACTCGAAACATAAATAAAAAAAATAAAAATGACATATTCAATGTTGAATAGTACATAACATAACTTGGGTTTTAGATTTGGGCCATTATCGCACTGATGTCAAATTTGTCATTTTGGTATCTCAAAAAATATTACAAATTTTGATACAAAATTTTGTGACATCGTACGTTGATGTTCTGTTAATGTGCTAGATTTTTTTCAGATTTTTTAGATGTTATATAGCA